ATAACTGGGGCTATGTTAAGTTTATGGCTGAAAAAACAACTTAAAGATTGGCGAGCCAGCTTCCAAAGCACACTGTACATTTCACTATCTTTAAAAATCTTTTTGTTGTCTGCAAAAAAATCCTTTATATTTCTAACAGGAATATTATATTTAAATTCAGCTGTTCAAATAAAAGAGGGGCTTTTCAAAAAAGTTAAAAAAAATGGACAGAAATATATATGAAGGTTCTTTCTGTTTAATCATACTATGGCTTAAATAAAGCCCAGTAGGCATAGCACAAGATGAAGACATTTAGTACCTCCTTGGGTCAGGATGAGTCAATGACATGGCCATATTTTCCATGTCAAATAAACCTCTAGACCGATGAACCTGGAAACCCATGCATATGAAGTGATGAGCACAGAAATGTCAAAGCACTGCCTAACAACTCATTAAAGAAGCAGTGATTGGCTAATGGGCAGAGAACAGGATCCTGTAGGAATAGGATACAAAGTAGACGGCTTTGAAGGAAGTGGTAACACTGGGGTATAGATCCTCCTGTATGGGAGGTGAGGGCATTTGGCAGAGTACGAGCTTAGCATTAAAGACAAGCCTTGCTCCATTTTTTTAGAAAGCGCCTATTCTCTGTCTCTACTTTCATTAGCTGAAACTAGTAAGACATGACTACTTGCTGACTTAAATTTTTACGTTAAAAGAAATTTGGTGTAATAGAGTCCTGTATGTTTATTATCAGGAAGCAAACTGAAACAAATCTGCCTCCTATTCAAATAAAAATGCAAGGGCGAATACAACTTAGACAAATATATCTCTTTACTTACCTTAAGGAGTAAGTGCCTGAGCTCATCTTCCTGAATAAAAGAAGGTCGATAATTATCTCCTGCATAAAAATTTGTCATACCTAAAAATAAGTAAAAAATATACTGAAAATATAGTAGGGATGAAAATGCAGTAGGTGCTCAATGAACATTAACTATGTTGCTGCTACTGGTGAGGATAGTGATAGTCATGGTATTTTCTCTGTTAGCACATCCTAAGACCTCTTCGGTAATCGTTCTCTTTCTTTGTCAACACTAAATTAAAATTTCCTGCTTTTAGATTGTAAATTCTTGAAACTGCTTATTCATTTATGTTCAAATGTGCAGAGAGTAAGAGCTCCCTACAAAAAAAATAACAAGGGCCAGGCGAGTGGCTCAGTTGGTTAAGAGCTCACTCGAGAGTGCGAACTCTGACAACAGGGTTGCCGGTTCGATGTCTGGCCCAAGCTGAGCTGCCACTGAGCTGCCAACAGGTGGCAAGATGGCTCAACTAAAAAAAACAAAAACAAACAAATAACAAAATGCAATATATTATCTACATTATAATAACATGCAACAATATTCAAGAATCTAGTAATTTTTATAATTTCTTAGCTTATTAATATTGATCCTATGAATTACCCTGAATGGAGGTGATTCTTCTATTTTAAACAAATCTCATGGATTCATAGGATTTTCCATTTGACTCTTTAAAGATCACACGAAGACTTCTGTTCTGATAACAGACAAAAATGTATAAGGTATAAAAATGAAATGATTCATTTTAAGCCCTTAGCAACAGAGCTTATCGTATTAAAATGAATGTCTCTACAGCTACTGAAAAGCTGGCAAAAATGATAAGGATTTATCAGGTCAAAACTAGGACGCCTTGAGGGCATCTACCCCCCTTGATTCAGGAGAGCCCTTCATAACCACACGGGGGTGCAGAGGACAGTTAAGCAGGCCAAGGTGTGCTGTTCCCACATACCTCTGGGCTAAGGTGATTCTGAGGTAAATCAATTTTCCCTCCTTTACGCTTCCCAACCTCCCTGATGGCAATCCCTTCCTCCCGAGAACTGCAAAGAAAGTTGCTTTCGCAAGAGAAAGGTAAACATTTTAACCAGAAATTGGCCCTTGAATGGATGTGCAGCCCAATTTCACCAATTACCTAAGATGGTGTGTGTGGGGGAAACAAAATGAGAAAATTAAAAACACCTCATGGTATAATTTGGTAAAGTATTCTCAGACTAGTGACACCCCTAAGAGCCTGGCATAGGCAAAAGAAAATCCTCTTTTGGAGCCTATCTTCTAGGTAGACCTCAAACGATTCCCCTAAATGATTTCTTCTTGTTGTCATTATTACTACTACACAGTATACGAGTATTATTATTACTACACAGATGCTTCTGCTTCTTCTTATTTATTGCTGCTACTACTACTATTACTATTACTACTACTAAACAGCAGCCTGGTAGGAGGGAGTTGAGAAAGGGTGGCCTGAAAGATGCAGACTCAGGGCCAAGCCAGCGGACAGCAATCCATCAATCTGAGCAAGGCAGTGACACTTTCAGGTCAGAAGTATGCTGGGGAAATCCTACTAGTGTCAGCCAGCCAGAATGGGCGAGCCCTGGCTAGGTGAGTAAGCGAGGTCTGCGCAGGAGAAAATGAGGGCAGTATGAGCAGGGGTGAAGCTAGGGTGAGGTAAGTTAAGCAAATGCGTGCTGTGATATGCTGTACACCTGCCAAAGCAGGGTAACAAATCTGACTCTCAGATTTCTGATGGCAAAAACCAACGAGGAAACATGATCCCTTATTTTTGTTCCAATGTTCATCGGGTTAAAAAAAAATGACCATATGACAATAACAATGATGATGATCATAATGATAATGATCAAAATGACAATAACAAGACTGCCTCCTGCTCCTCTTACCACCACTTCCACCATTCATAAACACTGTGCTCACCCTTTAAACGCATTATTCTTTACTCTTAACAACAACCCTATGAGACAAATTCATTATTCCTATTTTATGAATATGGAAGTTGAGGGTTAGAATGTTAAATAACTTGAGTAAGTCACATAGCTATTAAGTCAGGGAGCCAATGATTTGGACCCAGGAGGTTTGCCTCCAGGACCCACATGCACACACCACTGCGCCTACTGTCCCCAGGAGTAGGACCACACACACAGAATGCCCACAGCTTCTCCAAAAGCGCATGCCACAGAGCAGGGTTACTCTAGATGTGGTCAACAGACCAATGTCAACAGCCAACTGTGGTGAGGTGAGTACAGAAATTAAGAATAAGCATTTGACACGTTATTATAGAAATGTAAGGTTGTGGCATCCAAGCCCATGATCATGTTTCCAGTAAGCACTTGTGTTATATTTTACAACAGAAGGGGGTGAGGATCACCTGCCGTTCGCCCAGATAGTTTGAGATGCACTGCTGTAGAGTGTAGTAAAACAAATCATTTCACCATCTTCTGTCTGTAAAGTAATTATGTATAGACCAAAATAACACGATCCACATGCAACCTTCTGATGAATGATCCAGAGTCTCTAATGTCAAGCAAGTTGGGGGTACGCTCTGATCCGTGCACTGGAATGCAGGCCCAACCACTTTAAGTCATCTCACTTGTGGTAGCACCAACTAAAGGGTCTGGTTAGGATGTGTGATGAGTATTTGACCACCTCACTTTGGCTTAGAAGGGCCAATGGCGAAATCGATGCTCTGTTCCAGGAAATACCCCCTCTGGATTTAGACAGTGTCTCCTCCGTACGCTCCTCTCACTCATACTTCCGCTCTAACATTTCTCGCACTAGGTTTTACTGATCTCTTCATGGGTATGTCTCTTTTGTCCAGCCATGAATCCAAAAAGCACAGAGATCTTGCCTCATTCATTTCTATATCCCCAGCACTAAAAGGGAGTCTAGCTGAAGCTCAGTTGGTGTTTGTTGAAATAGTTGATTGATTGATGGCTTCTCCCTTAGGTCCTCCTCCCTCGGGACATTGCAAATATGAAAATTCTTGGGTAATTTTAGGTTTGTAATCAAATGACCTCAGTTGAGCCTGCAAAGGTTCCCTGCTGAAAGATTTAAGGGAAATATTGCATGCAACTTATGCAAGACCCAGATGTAGGTAAAAGAGAATCTTACTGATCTCATTTCACAACAGACTTATGAAAATAAGACTGCCAATCATGTTCCCAACAGGAAGCCTGCCAGGTGGTATCCGAACACTTGCATGGCTCTTCATGGCATTGAAGGGACCAAGGGCTGTGCTTTCCTTCCACCATCGCCTCCTCTCCAGATCTGCATATAGTCAGATGGAGTGTATATGCCATTTTTCTACCATATGCGGAGATCAAAGGAAGATGATTTAAGGTATCGATTTTTATAACTTGGACAAGTTACTATTAAATAGGCCTTTAATAGCTGTCCGTAGTTTTGCTTCCTAATTTGTATGTGCTCCCCTCTCCTCGACCTCTTTCAATCTGAACAGATTTCTCAGGATTTTTTGGTTTTGTTCATTAAGAAATAAGATCCTCTTTGTCTAGGCTCCAATTTGCACCTGGAGTCCAGATCAACACTCCTCTCTTCTAAACCACTGACTCAATTTGGCCTTGTCCTTGTATTCTGACCCTATAACTTCCTTTTCCCTGGAATACATTTTCCTTTTCCTGGCATGCAGTGGAGGACAAAGATCTAAATGAGACCCCTGGTTAATCTTTGCTTATTCATTTTTTACACTCTTTGAGTCAAATTTCATTCCAATCTTTTAGAACGTCACAAATCTGAACTTTCAGAGTCTGATCTGCAGCTCACTCCTCTGCCAGGTCGTCTGGTCTTCTCAATATAAATGTATGTCATTAACATTTGTGGATCTAAAACTCAGTTCTATTTCCATTGATATTGCCCCCCAAGTTGGAATGGGGTTACTCCCAAAGCAGATGTGATTCTGACTATACATATAATACATATACACATTGGTTTAAAGTTCAAGATTAAGTTGGAGAAGTGCTAAGGTCGGAAACGACCACACCGTGCATGCCCCAAGAAGCAATGGTTAAGGATCTCCTTCACCCCATGAGTCATACATTGAGAATACCTTAGAATAACAAGGTGTAATGCATTTTAAGGTACTACTTATAAATATGAAGGAAGCTTTAAGAGAAATTGGCTGAATTTAAGGAGATTTTCTTTTCTAAGAATGAAAATCTGGCAATAACTTAAAATTATAATAACTAACCCTACATCCCAGAACTTCTGGGATGGCATATATAAATATATAAATACTGAGAGGCACATATGGTTGGCATTATTATCTTCATATTACACATGGAAAAACATGTAGTCATGTAAAGGCTTTTCAAGTTCACACACAGTTAGCTTAAGATCAAGCTTTTAGTAAATCCAAGTTTTCCGCCATCCAAATTAGCATTCTCTCCACGTACAGAATATGGAGGAGCATCAAATTAACATCTCTAAAGCTGAAAGACACATTTGAATAGCATCTCAATAGCCAGTAACAACAAACCAATCAGAGACCTCAATGACAGTGAAGGCTTCACAAATCTACGCGTGGAGGCCATTTTCAAACTTACCTTTTAAAGATTTCAAGTGTTGAACAGCCATTCTTAAAACTGTAAGTTTGTCCAGTTTTCGGGCCACGGGCTTACACTGAGGGATCATGGCTGACAGCTCTTCAATCAGGGTATTCATTTTATCTCTCCTCCGTTTCTCAGTTTGACTATGAGCTTCTCTAAAAAGGAAAAAGAACCTCCTTTGTATTTCACATTCGGCAGACCCACAGCGACCCCACTCGCTGAAGCACGTGTGGAGTCCAGCAAGCATGGACTGTCCGCTCTTCTTCCCACCTTTGGCCCTGCAGGTGCTATTCAGGGAAGAGAAGGGCGCTGCTGGGAACAGAGGCGGCACTTACAAACTTCACAGTGCATTTAGTCCCCACCCACTACCCTTGCTCCTTCCTTCCCTACCTTATTTCCTGAAATTTTCAAGAACTAAGACATCAGTCTGAGAGCCATGGTGGGTGGTTTTTTTTACTTCCCTCCAGTCTTAAGAGAAAGAGATGGGTAGCCTTCTATTCAAAGCTAACTCCTCTCTGGTATTTGCTTAAACAGTTATTAGCATCTTGATTTCATTCTCTTTCACAGCTCCTTCTCATGGGTCTATAAATGTGCAAGTCTCTTTCCCTCTGGGGGGGGGGACCCTTTCCCTAATTCTAGGATTTTTTTTTCCTTGCTACTCTCTTCCCTTCTCAGCTAGCTTCGTGAGACAGGGCAGTCTCCACGCTATCTTTCATTTCCCAGGCACTTTCCATCTATTGGGCTCAACCTTCCACAATCCACACTCCACTAAAACTATTCTAGCAAGGGTCACCCTTATCTTATGCAGCCCCTTGCTGATCCCTGCCTTGAATTTGACACTGTTGCTGTTCCTCATTCCTTACTTGGCTTCTGTGACCTCTCCTGCTCCTCCATTCTCCCTGCTCAGCTCAGTCCCCTTCATCTCTTTCCTTGGCTTTTACTCTATCCTTAAATACCAGTGACCCTCAAGATTCCTTACTTGGCACCACTCTTTCCTCACCCTACAGCTTCACCCTAAGAGATCTCATTCTCTCATACGGCTTTACAACTACTCATAAACTACTTACTATTAAATCCCTATACTTTACCTAATTCCTAACTTTTAGAACTAGAACTATGTACCTAAGTGATTGCCGAATACCTAAAACTCAAGAAATCCCAAACTGAATGCTTCTCTGCCATGTACCCCATTTAAATGCTCCTTTCTCCACTAGCCCTGATTTACTCTTCCTTCTATAGAGTTTATCTTGGTTGGTGACACCATTAGACTCATTCTAGATCATTCCTCTTCTTCACCCAGAAGTGCCAAATAATCACAAACTCCTGTCGACTCCAGTTCTTAAACTATTTCTTAAATATGCTTTCTCTCCACCCACTCTGTCACTGCCTTAATTCAGGCCCTTATGAAAGACAGCTCATGGCACTACCCCCCAAAGCCTTTTAAACCGATGCTCCTTCTTCTAATGTTTTCCCCTTCTAGTCTATCCTACCCAATACTTCCAGAATTGTCATTCTAAGACAAATCAAATCATCTAATACCACTGCATAAAACTGCCCAAATGCATTCCCAATTCCTAAGAGGAATGGCCAAACTCCATAATGACTTCCAAAGTTCCTCCACGACCTGCTTCATCCCTTCGTCTCCAGTTTCACCTCTCCATGTCTTTTCCCTACAGCTCCAAAAGTTATACAGCGGCAATGCCAAATGACTTGCTAGTCCTCCAACGTGCCGCATTGTCTCACGTCTCCTCCATGTCTTGCTCTTTATTAGGCTTAGAAGGTCTTTCCCTTCTATGTTTGTGGAAAATCCTACTCCTTCTTCAAAACCTTGCTCAGTTATTCTGAGAAGCAGCTACCTCTGTACCCTTGATGCAACTAGATGCAACTACCCTATTTCACCTAATCTAAGCTACCACCAGTTGTAAGATACATTATTTAATGCATCACAAGGAGATGCCAAATAACAGGAAGATGCCATTGAGAAGACATTTTTCTCAGATGATAACACGTAGGGGAAAAAGGTGTATCTTAAATGTCAAGAATTAGGCTATTTTACTCTTCACACTTAACTGTAAACATTTGTCTGTTGTCTCCTACAACACTCAGATCATGGCAACTCATACTTTCTATTTATTGCAAAAAGAATTTAGGGGGAGCAATCTGATGGGAAAGAGAATAAGTAGGAGGTTGCCTTGATCTGTTTTTATAGCACCTTTAAATTATTAATAAATGAAAGAAAATGTAAATTCTCCAGATAGAAGTGGGGAAGGACCACTAATGGAGCTGATAGAGCTAATATTCCCCCTCCCCACTCCATTCACCCTTGGGCAATGCCACTCCTGGAACAAAACTGTACTTTTGAGTAAACTGGACAGAATTCAAATTACATGTGTATTTACATAAACTTTAGTTATCTACTCATACCTTGGTCTATTCATGACTAATTTTTAGATTAGAATTCTATGATTAAAAAAATGGTATAACTATCCTCTTGCTAGAATGATCACCTCTTCTTTCTACCAGTATTACCCATTAAAATAGACAGTAGACATGGACAGAAATGCCAGATTCCAGGAATGTACAGCAGAAGAAGGCGTGCTCTCTCTCAGAAGTAAGGTTTGGAGGGAGGTGAGAGCAAGGCCACTGCAGAGAACAATGCAGGATGATGGTGGGAGCCAGGAATCTCAGAGGAAGGAGAAATAGCCAGTTTTTGAACCAGTTTTTGTACTCGAAGGAGGTGCACCTGAAAAGATTTCTGGAGGATTTTCTTAAGAAAAGGCATATCTATCCAGAGGCTAGTTCTCTGCTTAATATACTTTATCAGGGCCCTAGCTCTTAATTCTATATATTGTTACTACCACTTTGAACCATGTCAGCGTTCTGTAGAGTCATGTCAATAAAACAGAATAAATGGAGAAAAAGCAAAGCTAAGATCTGGCCATGTTGTCAGATGTAGAAAAAATTTTGTTGATATTGAATCAACTGACAAAGAATTTATGATGACAGATTCCTAATAGTCAGATGTTTCTCATAAGTAATACTGATTTGTTTACAGCACCAATCAGCTTTTCTCTAGTGCTCGAAGAAAATAAGTTTTTAATAAACATCTATTCTAAAAAAAATGTAAAGACACAAAGGCCAACTATTATTCAAGCACATAGAAGAGAAAGGTAGCAGGTACTGATAATCACTACTTCTCACACCATCACATATGAGAAGAGAATAATATTAATAAATCTATTCTATCTTGACATCACCTTTTGCTTTGGCTAAAGGTGTGCGTGCGTGACCTTTTCCACCCACCAGGTACCATCTCAGTAGTTCAAAGTACCTGAAGGACTTCATTTTTACTTGTTGTTCACCATCTTCCATTCTACAAAAAAGCAGGATAAGATATCAAACTACAAGAAATAGCTTTTCTACAATTCTTGAGAGAGAAACAAATGTGAGATTAAATCCAATCAACCTAATTCTTATTAAGTCTTTAGTTACAAATGCTACCCTGAGCTCCTAATGACCTGAAATGATTTTTACTGTCTACATAAGCTATTCTCCTATTAAAGCTGACAGGCCCATCATCCCCATCAGGCTAATTCTGTTAACTGCCAATGATCAATAATTGATGCTCTATTTAAAAATTAGCCCAGGACAATATTGAGAAAGAATATCATTTTCACAGAAATATAAAGTAATTCTTTTAAAACAATTGATGGCTTAACCAAAATTCTTATAGTAGCTGTATTAAAACAGTCTGAAAATGCATTAAAAATCTCAGACTTTTATACAAAAAATAATTTATTTTGCCTAAAACTTCATCTGGATAAGATCTTATTGAAAACTGGAAACTCTGATCACTTGCCAATATTATTATCACATTAAATACATTCCCTAGCAGAATATACTAAATGTGTATGTTTGTATGTATCTATATTTATATATAAATATACATACATAAGTTTGTGCATGTATTCATTCAGAAATGTAGTCACCAGACCACTACTAAAGTGAAATATACAGAGGATGATAGAGTACTTTCCACATTAAAAAATTATGCAGGATAGGCCGGCCAAGTGGCGCACTGGTTAAGAGTTGGCTTGGGACACCAGCTCTGAGCAGCAGGGCCCCGGTTCAGATCCCACATGAGGGCCAGTGACACTGCGCCCTCTACAGCTAAGATGGTGAATAACAGCTCGACCTGGAGCTGGGCTGCCATGAGTTGCCCGCGACAGCGTAGGCTGCAGTGGGACTGGCTGGCAGCTGGCATGCACTTTCGTGAGCTGCCATGAGCCGCCATTCAAAGGCCAGAGACCAAGCTGTCTCACCAGGGAAGAGCGCAATGATAATACCAACATGGGCCAGTGAAGCGATAACCTCCACAACTACACTGAAGAACAAAAGGACAGCAACTTGTCTGTTCCCTTCCCCAACTCTGTTCCCCTCCCCCAATTCACCAATAAAATTTTTTTAAAAATTATGCAGGTTAAGTTTTTTAAAAATATGTATTTTAAAAAACATATTTTCAAATGTATAATTTTTTGAAGAGGCATTTGAAAAAGTCACAGGAAAACACCCATAATCTCACCTGGAAACAATAACAGTTAATAGTTTAGTGGGTGTCCCTCCAATCTCTTTCCTAAATACGTATTCAGATACATACAAAAAAACAGTTTTGACTATTTAAGTTAGCCATGGGGTGTGTGTATATGTGTAGTATATTTATGTAGAAGTTTCTTCTTTTTTTTTTAAAGATTTTATTGGGGAATTGGGGGAGGGGAACAGTGCTGGGGAATCGGGGGAAGGGGAACAGACAAGTTGCTGTTGTTTGTTGTTTTTCAGTCTAGTTGTAGAGGATATTGCTTCACTGGCCCATGTTGGTATTATCATTGCGCTCTTCCCGGGTGAGGCAGATCGGTTGCCGGCCTCTAGACGGCCGCTCACAGCGGCTCTTGGTAGCTCACGCTAGCTGCCAGCCACACACGGTAGCTTATGGCAGCCCACTGCTCCAGGGGCTGCAGCCTACGCTGTTGCCGGCAACGCCTGGCAGCCCAGCTCCAGGTCAAGCTGTTGTTCATCATCTTAGCTGTAGAGGGCAGTGTCACTGGCCCCCATGTGGGATCCGAACTGGGGCTCTGCTGCTCAGAGCTGGCGTCCCAAGCCAGCTCTTAACCAATGCGCCACTCAGCTGGCCCTATGTAGAAGTTTCTGTGTGTTTACATATAAATCTATAAAACAAAATTCAGATCTTATAAAAAACAAAGTTCAGATCTTAGTGTGTAATTTTTCATGTCTTATTCACTTAACACTATCACATGAATATTTTCCCATAACTTCAAATATTCTTGGAGAACATGATTTGAAATGATTACATAGTAGCCCATTGGCTAGCTAATTTAATCAATCATTTTCTATTGGATTATATATTCTATATTATATATGATACAGCTAATACTATTGTGGTGCATACATCTTTGATTCTCCTAAGATAAATTCCTAGAAGTACAATTTATGGATAACGATTTTATTTTTTTTATTTTTCTTAAGATTTTTTTTTTAAATTGGGGAATTGGGGGATGGGAACAGCGCTGGGGAATTGGGGGAAGGGGAACAGACAAGTTGCTGTCGTTTTTTTGTTGTTGTTCTTCAGTCTAGTTGTGGAGGACGTTGCTTCACTGGCCCAAGTTGGCACTATCATTGTGCTCTTCCCGGGCGAGGCAGATCAGTCGCCAGCTTCTGGACGGCTGCTCACTGCGGCTGCTGGCCGCTCATGCTGACTGCTGGCTACACACGGTAGCCCATGGCAACCACTGCAGCCTACGCTGTCGCTGGCGACTCATGGCAGCCCAGCTCCAAGTTGAGCTGTTGTTCAGCATCTTGGCTGTAAAGGGCAGTGTCACTGGCCCTCATATGTGGGATCTGAACCGGGGCCCTTTGGCATCCCAAGCCAGCTCTTAACCAATGCGCCACTTGGCTGGCCCTGGATAATGATTTTAAGGCTTCTGATTCATCTTGCCAAATTTCCTTCTTGAAAGACTCAACAATGACATCTTCCAGGCTTTGGAAGTTTGTCCTACCATTCAACTATTTTATTTATTTGAACTATTTTGAGTTTTTAATAATATTTTTCTGCTTAAAAAAGACAATATATGCTTTTTATTGAAAATTTAATAAACTTTATAAAGAGATGCTTATAAATATTCCAAATAAAAAGTTTAATCATGGGCTGCTTTTCCTTCTCGCAGCCTAAACAAAGAATAGTTTTTATATTTATGGTACTTAGTCAAAAATATTTTCACATGTTATTTGATTCTTAAAACATTTAAGAATCACATAGTTATAACTATCCCCATTTTACAGAAGAAGGAATTGAGGCCAGTAAGATTAATGGCTGCTCAAGGTCACATACCTAACAGGAAGCCAGGTGAAGCTTATTCTATTAATATACAGGATGGAACGCCTTGCTGTTTCTCTCATTATTGTCAGTCTGTTCTGTGGTCAATACACATATTGGGCTGTCGGAAAATTCATGACATATTTTGTTTATGTTTTTAAAGGTCATTTATTTATATGAAGAACAAAGATCAATCAATGATATATTGCCCGTTTTGTTCAATAACCTTTTGCCATCTTTCAGTGAGCTTCATAATTCCTTGTTCAAAGAAGGAACTGTCTTTATTTGTGAAAAACTGAACAAGGTGCTGATTTACAGCCTCATTTGAATTGAACATTATACCACCAAGGAGTTTTGAAGAGAGCGAGACAAGTGGAAATCTGACGGTGCAAGGTCAAGCGAGTATGGTGGGTTTAACAACACATCCCATCCAAGCTCCAGTAATTTTTGACAGGTGAACAAACTTGTTTGTGGTCTCGCATTGTCACGATGGAACACAACTCCTTTACAATTAACGAGCTCTGGATGTTTCTGGATGATGGATTCGTTCAAACTGTCCAATTGCCAACAGTACACATTCAAATTGTTTGGTTCCTTGGTAGGAGCTCGAAAAACACGACACCTTTAAAATCCCACCACACCTTCCTCTGATGAATGTCTGCTTTTGATGTCACTTGAGGCAAATCATCACGTCGGGACCAAGATTGTTTTTGCACCACATTGTTGTAAACAATCCACTTCTCATCACCAGTTATCAGCACTTCAAAAAAGGATGGTTTTCCTTACGTTTAATGAGCATATTGCAGATGTTTATACGTGCCGTCAAATGACCTTCTTTGGGTTTATGCAGAACCCAAATATCGAGCTTGCTTACGTATCCCTGCTTCTTCATGTGGTCATGAATGCTTGAATGATGGATGTTCAATGTTTCTGCAATTTCTCATGTTGTGTAATGTGGTTTTGACTCAATCAATGCCTTTATTTTGTCGTCATCAACCTCGGTGGGCCTCCCTGACAGAGGAGCATCGTTGAGATCAAAATCACCAGCATGGAATTTCGTGAACCATCGTTGGCACCGACGTTCTTGTAGCATTGTCACCGTAAACTTTATCCAACATTTCACAAGCTTGACGCGCGTTCTTCCCTTTATGAAAGTAAAACAGTAAAATATGGCAAAAATGCAAAGTTTGTTCTTCCATCTTCAACTTGTTGTAAAATCTCCAAAACTCAACCAAATTGCTCAATTTTTTTTAGAATGAAGCTAGAACAGTCAGCTGTCAAATGACAGAGAAATAACATAGATGCGAATGACTCTAGTACTTCCTAAAATGAACTAGTGCTGTCACAAACATGCATCATGACTTTTCCGACAACCCAATACAATTAAACAGCTTCTCTGAAGCAAAAGAGGGAGTCCTATGAAGTCAGTTTCTTTTCCTTTCTCTTTTCTCTTTTTTGCCTGATTTCCTATTTGGGAAATAAAATAGAAAATAATTCCTCAGGTAAATGATTTTCTTCCTAATGGTCTGGGATTATATATACATACATTACTTCAATTTCACAAGGGAAGCTTTGGCTGTTTTAAATCGTGCTCTTGCTTTGATTATAGGTGTTTTAGAAAATTAATTCACTGACTTAAATTGCTGTCATGGTAAAATCCAAACCCACTGTACTTATGAAGTACAAATTAAATACCTTTATTTAATGGTCCCTGGTAAATCCAAATAAAGGCATGGTCATGTTAGTCAAACAATTCATTTCTTTGTTTGCAACAGGAATCTAGATAATTAGTAAATTTGCTATTTTTATTTTTCTCTATGCTGGCATTCAGTCTATAGTCAGAATAAGTTTACATATGGGTTTTAGTAAACTTTCTAATATTAATATGTTCAAATCACTTAAAAGCAATTTTTTATCATCTTATACTATAATAGCATAATTTTTTTTGAAAACACAGTGCAAGCTTTCCCTGAAAACTATTTTCA